GCCCGTTGGAAGCACCCTCTCGCCCTTCCGCACGTGCAGGGCTCACTATCTCGCTCGCTCGTTCTTCGCCCAAAAGGCGTTTTACTGGTAGTTTGTAATAAGCCAAGATTACCCAAACGACAGCAATATGGTCAGCAATCACAGTCTTGAGGTCATTCGAGCATTCCATTAGAGTAATACTTTATGGTCAAATGCAGCATGCAGCCTTAGCATAACGGCATGGTAAAATAATGTAAAGTCGTAAGAATCACCAACTTTGATGAGCTATTTGCTATGTCATTCATGAAACTTGCAACAATGTATTATGCATATTTTGACCAGTCTAACAAGCCCTGCTGAGGAGATTGTTTCGTATGGATTACATGTAGTTTAGTATAACTGATGAAGACCATTATTATCTGGTGCACTTTGGCTATCAGTGCCCACCCATGCTACCAAATGTTAGCTCTTACGGTCCAGTGCCTTCCATGCATGTAATATAGCATGATCGTAACTTTATGGTTGCAAGCTCATTAACTCAACCGTATATTCCAATACTTCAGGAAGTTGAGAGAAGTGGAAACTCCATCATAACCAAACAAGCAGACTGTAGATATTGAAAGAGTCAAGATGTTTCTACCTTACAGATTTATCTCTCCATCCTTACTCCAGCATCGCCGCATCCGGGCAACAGAGTAGCTTCGGAAGCGTCCGGCCACGCCGCCTCGTATATCACCGGGTAGTACCGAAGGCGATCTAGCCGTAATACGGTGATGATAACCCACAACAGGCTGGTCTCGAAACTACCCCAACCCGGCAGCAAAACCGCCCGTAAAAGCAGCAAGATGCCGTCGGCCCAGCCGTTCTCGGGCTGCTGGCATCCGCCTAGGGAGGGTGCACCCGGGAGCGTCAGCCCGTGAAGCAGTCTGATTTTATCTGCCTAATGTGGCGCGCTTTTTCCGCGCCATTCCTGGGCGCGCGGGCGGAGAGCTGCCGGCAGCGGCCGCGGTCATCTCTGCCGTCCACAGATGCTTGGATAACCTTCGACCCGGCGCCCGTTTGCTGGCCTGACTTGCAGCTTCCTTTATCTACGGGCTTTGATTTCGGCCTGGCACTTAAGTAGTGGGTCCGACGCGGGACGGACGGTAATTAAAAACGGAATTAATCGCAGCGCGACCCGGCCGCGCCGCCCTGCGAAGGGCAAGTCATCGGCGGCGGCGGCGCGGCGGCGACGGTCGCGGCGCGGACGATGACTGGTCGCGGCCGGCCGGGCGACGGGGACGGGTCACCCGCCGGCGGCGCGGCCTCAAAGGGTCCGACGCGATGACAACGGGGCGCCGCTGGCGCTACTTAGCGGGGCGGCCGCCGAGCCCGTTCAAGGTAAGCCCCGGGGCCGCTCCAGTTGCCGCCCCGCCGCGCCCCATACCAATGACGACCCGGCCGACCGGCCGGGCTCAGGTAACCGGCGCGTATTAATGAGGCGCGATTAGTGGTGCAGCAGAGGCCGCCGCTGTCCGCCGGGGGCGCCGGCGCGCCGCCCGAGACATCACCGCAGTTATAGCAGCCCCGCTATCCGTCCGCTGACCAGCGGGTCAACTCATCACCGATTTCATCGGGCCGCGCTGCCGCACCGTGTTTTAACGCTGGCCAAAAACTGGCCAGGACGTGAAATATCGACTATTTTTAAACGTATTCATTTGGCCACTATCGTGTTCAGAAATGATCAGAGCATCTTTAACGACGGAAACTTTTATTCTCTTTACTTTTGAAAACGTTGAAAATGTACAACAAAGTCAGACAACTTCCAAAAGCTAAACTTCGGAAAACAAACGCAGAAACAGTCACCTTGCTTCACGTCAAGATCTTCGAGCTTTGGATTGACAAAACTATATAATTTGGGTACCAAACGATAGCGCGAACTTTTGGCTTTGTAATGAGTCATAATTTATGCAATTATAATGCACATAGGTGTTACATTTATTGATTTCCGTCAGCCCTTACATTGACACACTTTTTTGAAAAAATGTCAATGTTCTTATAGGGCTACAAAAAATTGTACGCTAGTGTACGGTCTCAGACTACCACCACACTGTGGGTCAAGGAGTTGTCTACATGTCCTCAAAATTTCAGCTGCGCCTGAGTGCGCCGGTGTTGGGGGTGAACACTTTTTTGAATGAGTCATGGCTGCTCCTGCTGAGCCATGGGACGGGCCCTAGCGTGCGTTAAGGGAAAATGCTAGTACTCCTCGTTCATTCTCTCGTCTGTTGTGACGAGTTGGTGGCCCATGGAAGGTCGCCGACCTGTGTGCGACCTGCCGTACCCTGGGGCGTAATCAGCTGACGGCACGACCCCCACGACACGTGCCAGTTGCATTTTCATGTGTCGCGAGAAGAAGGGTCTCCGGAACCAGAGACCGGACAATGTCGGTGAATGACAGTTGTTCATTCAAAAACTGTAGCATTCCTATGAAATATACATTTCTTAAATATCAACAGCATTATCGGTGTAATTAATTATGTAGGTATAGTACCTGGTCTATAACAGGAAATTTCCACCCCATGGCTATTGCAGCAAATTCATAGTTTTAAACATATTTTAATACCTGATGGAGCGCAATTAAATATTCATTGTGCCCACTGCCCAGTTTGCGATGGGACTGTGAACTGAAAGGTGACTGTATGAGACATGCCACAGCACGCATCGCTGATCACGATGATCGGCTTTTGATCGTCCATCACCTGTTTGCGTTCGGCAGGGTTATCATCGGCCTCTTTAGTCAGTATTAATACGTTCAATGTAGGTGGTATGGTATCATTAGTGCTGTCCACCTTTATGAAAAGTATCCGTTTGTTGCAGTAAGCGTCAGTTAGTATGGCAATGAAGTGCTCTTACGTGCACGTTGCATGGTACATAACGCACCATACAGTAGGAATTGGTAAGAAGTTTTGGGATACATTCTACCATTTCACGTCATGCAATGGCGGATCCAGTGAAGGGCATAGTGGGTATTTGCCCTCCCCATAGCTGAATCGTGTGGGAAAAACTATCCTTTTGCCGCTCCCAAAGCTTTTGGTGATGATAAATGCCTATAATACGGCGTCGATGCCTATCTGGACAAAAAACAGGTCTTTCCGTCACAACCATTCTAAGGGATGGAGCTGACCGCTCGCTGCTCATTATTTAGGTCGGTATGCTGATAACAGATGGAACTCCCTGAGCTGCACGCATGCATATTGCAGACGTAGTGAAGCGTTGTAAAGTCACCGGCGCGGCGGTGGGTCGGGGTCACCGAATGGGTCGGAAACTTTTGCCCTCTCCAAACGGATTAGCTGGATCCGCTCGTGAGTCATGTGACGTAAAACATACAAGACTCTGGACTTAAGTGGAGACCGGGTTGACATCAAGTTTGTGTCATATATGAAGTGATGGTCCCATTGCGTACAGAGCACGCGACATAAGAAAATCTAAGTGTGTATTATTGGGCGATGTGGGGATAGATTGGTCAGAATACAAATATAGAGATCATGAATTGAGTAGGGGAGAGCGGGGTCAAATGTAACACGGGGCAATTGTAACAGTGCTAATAATTCATAAACTTACCAATAGAATGAGCTGATGTTAAGACCGAAAATGCGTAATTCTATACTGCCTTTCCCAACGGAGTATGAAGCGAAAGTGCCGGGTATGTCGATGGCTGTGCACAGTAATGTGTTTTTGAGTGCATTTTATAAATTTTTATACCGTTATATTTGATTAGCTCATTCTCACCATTGAAAAGATATCGACTTCAGACTTTGTGTAAGCGTTGGCAGGCTTGTTGTCCATAAATTGAAAGCATTAAATGCTGTACATGCAAAATCTTTATGCGCCAGTTTCGTCTAAAATATGTCAAGGCGCGACGGGGACAATTGTAACATTTTTGCAGGGGTCAAATGTAACAGGTTATAGGTCAGTGGCCATTATGTCAAAGTCGTCAAATTTTCAAGGGAGATGAAACATTGCTAGAATTAAGGGAACTGTAAGTTTTGTCGCAATCGGCAGCTTTTTACGTGATTTATTTGCGAAAAACCGAGGGAGAGGAGGTCCATCCAACCCCTGTATAAGTGCGAGGTTTTAAGCCTTTTTCCTGAGAAGAACCGTCTCTACCAAGTCTGGGAAGATGAACAAGTGTTCAATACTTTTGTTAAATCAAAGTTTTGGGAAAAATTGTGTTGCTGTAGCCTGTAAATTAGCATGTTACAATTGTCCCCGGGTGGTGTTACTTTTGACCCCGTATCTGGGGGGAATTGTAACAGATGAATTGACTTTTTTGGACAACAATTTTGATCCAAAAAATAAGTTATTTCGGAAATGTTTTAACAACATTTTAAAGACAAAACATCATAGTTTCTGAAAATAAAAGAAAAGTTTTATATCTGCAAACGTGTTTGCACCAGATGATAAAATGCAAAAAATGTTACAATTAACCCCGTTCTCCCCTACTTTGCTTACTTGAATATTAACTGAATAATATTACCTACTTAGATAGTAATCACAGCTTTAATAGTAAACGTAACATGGTGTCAGAAGTTTATTGAACCTATTACTTTAGATGAATAAGTGAGTAGCTCTCAATAAGTTGATAAACATGGCGCAAGGATTTCCACTTCCACCACCACTCACGCTGACACTGTCAAAGACCGATTCTCTGGCTGCACCGTGGAAGACATGGAAAAGACAGTGGGATAATTATTCGATCGCAACCGGCTTAAATGAAAGGCCGGAAAATGTTCAAGTGGCGACTCTACTGACATGTTTGGGGCCTGAAGCCTTGAACGTACTGGACGGATTGTGTCCAAATGAAGAAGATCAAAAGAAACTAGCGACTGTTCTTGAGAAGTTCGAAGAGTTCTGCGGGGATCTAAAAACGAGACATTTGAAAGATACAAATTTAACTCAAGAAAACAAGAAAACGAAGAGCCCGTTGAGTTGTATCTAGCCGAATTGAGAAAACTGGCCAAATCCTGCAACTACAGGGATCTAGAAGACAGTCTTATAAGAGACAGAATCGTTTTGGGAGTCCCTGACGTGTCTGTACGTAAGCGTCTCCTACAGGAGCCAGATTTGACTCTAGCCAAGGCTATTTCAGTTGTCAAAGCACACGAGGCGACACAAAAACAGATGAAGGACTTCGCCGGAGACACCAACGCCGAGGTTCACGCACTACAAAGGCGTCCCCCGGTACAACGCAGTCTTGCTGCGGCTAACAGACATGAAACGCCAAGGCCCCGCGAGTGCAAATTCTGTGGGAGAATGCACCCATTCAAAAAGGAGAGCTGCCCTGCATGGGGAAAAGCCTGTCAAGCATGTGGCCGACGGAACCACTTTGCAACGAAATGCCGGTACGCAGAAGTGCGTCTACTTGAGCCGGATGCAGTCCAGGACGGCTGTGTAGAAGACGGCGCGAGTCAGCACCAAACGGAGAACACTCTGACTCTGGAGATCGGTGCTCTGTCATCGCGAGACGCAGGCAAGCTGTTCGCAAACTTGCTGCTGGGAAGTGACCACTTACAGCGGTTCCAGCTGGATACGGGTGCGTCTGCCAACATAATACCGCAGCACGTCTACAAAAAAGCTTGTGTGGACAGCAACATGAAGAAGCTTAAGCGGTGTGATATATCGCTCGTCATGTTCAACAAAAGCACAACCAAAGTCGTTGGCAAAGCCGAGATAGACGTTCTGAACCCGAAGAATGGGTCAAGATATGTGGTGGAATTTTTGGTGGTACGCGAAGACTTCACCCCACTGCTTGGGCTGAACACACTGCAGACAATGGAGTTGATCGAAGTAAGGTCGGAGAACATCGACTACGTGAATGATTTAGATGTAAATGAGAGCAAAGAGACTGGCTTCTACAAAAATGAAGCAAGAGGAAACAGGGCTGGTGAGAAGAGCAGAGCTGCAAAAGCAGACCTGAAGGTACACAAGCAAGCGCTACCGGAAAGAAGCACAAACAAAGAAGCAGAGAAAAAAGACTTCTCAACAAATGATTTACATGCGCAGTACCGGGATATCTTCACTGGGGTCGGAAAGCTACCCGGAAAGCTTCATATCCAAACTGATGAGTCAGTGAGACCAGTACAACTAGCTGCAAGATCGGTTCCAGAAGCAATGAAGCAGGACATCAAGGACGAGCTGGACCGTTTGGTAAAAGACGGCATCATTTCGACGGTGTCAGAACCGACTGACTGGGTCTCCGCCATGGTAGCCGTAAGCAAGCCCACAAAAGGAATTCGGATCTGTATCGATCCACAGCCATTAAACACGGCCATCAAACGAAACCACTATCCGCTGCCCACGATAGAAGACTTGACTCCCGCACTAGCAAACGCTAAAGTGTTCACAGTCTGCGACGCCAAAAGTGGGTACTGGCATGTCGAGCTGGACACGGCCAGTAGCTACCTCACGACGTTCGCTACACCGTGGGGTAGGTATCGCTGGCGACGCATGCCGTTTGGCCTGTGTCTAGCGTCCGAAGAATTCCAGCGAAGACTCCATCAAGCTCTCGAAGGCTTGGAAGGCGTGATGGCAATAGCAGACGACATACTCGTCTACGGGAACGGTGCCTCTCACTCAGAAGCCGTGGAAGATCATGATAGAAAACTGTTATGTCTACTAGAAAGGTGCAGAAACGTAGGACTTAAACTGAACATGGAGAAAATGAAGCTCAGGCAGACTGAAGTGAAGTATATGGGCCACATCTTCACACCTAATGGCATGAAGGCAGATCCTGACAAGGTAAAGGCAGTCAAGAACATGCCTGCCCCAGAGGACCGCAAAGGTGTGCAAAGAGTGCTTGGCCTGGTGAACTATCTACAGCGGTTCGCCCCCAACCTCGCGGAAGCCTCTGCACCTCTCAGATCGCTTCTCAAGAAAGAAAATGCATTCATCTATGAGGAGGTACACAAGCGGTCATTGGAAAACATCAAGGAGATCATAACTCAAGATCCCGTGTTGAAGTACTATGATGTCAAGAGAGAGGTTGTGGTACAGGTTGATGCATCCAGCCATGGGCTGGGAGCCTGTCTTATGCAAGACGGCCAGCCGGTAGCATATGCATCAAGAGCGCTCAATGAGACCGAAAAGAACTACGCTCAAATCGAAAAGGAGCTTTTGGCTATTGTGTATGGACTCAACAAGTTTGAACGCTTCACCCAAGGAAAGAAAACTAAGGTGGAGTCAGATCACAAACCTCTCGAGTCGATCATGAAAAAGCCGCTGGTGAGCGCACCAAAACGACTCCAAAGAATGATGCTCCAGCTGCAGAAGTATGATTTTGAAGTTGTCTACAAACGTGGCCAGGAGATGTACATAGCGGATGCTCTCAGCCGAGCACATGAGGCCGAGGCTACAGACGACAAACTCAAGGGTCATGTATGCCTCCTAGAAGAAATTTCGTCAGACGAAGTGGAAATAAGAAACATGAATGCCTTGGAACACAGTCCGGTGTCAGACAGAACGACAAAGCTCATTCTGCAAGCTACAGAAGAAGATCAAGAGATGCAAGAAATGATCAGAATGATCAAGAACGGTTGGCCCGGCAGCAAGAAGCAGCTATCTGACCAGCTGAGACCGTACTACAACGTCAAAGAAGAGCTTTCCACTAGGGATGGGTTTGTCCTGAGAGGCGAGCAGATCGTGATCCCAAGGTCCATCCGCCACATCTTGAAAGAGCGAGTGCATTCGGCACACATCGGACTGCAGGGATGCCTCAGAAGAGCTCGTGAGGCGATATACTGGCCAGGTATGACGGAGGAACTGAAGGAGCTGGTCACCAGGTGCAGTGTATGTCTGGAGTACGGTAGAAAACAACAACGGGAGACACTGAGCTCGCAAGATATACCACAGCGACCATGGCAGTACATAGCTTGCGACATGATGGAGTTCAAGAACCACTCGTATCTGGTGACAGTTGATACATTCTCGGATTTCATTGAATGTGATAGGCTTAGTGACAAGAGAGGAAGTGAAGTGATAAGGATCTTAAAGTCCCAGATGGCAAGACACGGATTGCCCGAAAAAATGATGACGGACAACGGGCCGCCCTTCAATTCAGCTGAGTTCAGACAATTCGCTGAGAAGTTCGACTTCAGACATCAGACGAGCTCGCCAGGATATCCCCAGTCAAATGGCAAGGCGGAAAGTGCTGTGAAGATCCTCAAGAATCTCATGATAAAGGCAGAAGCGGACGGCCGAGATGCCTACTTGGCGCTGCTCGACTGGCGCAACACACCGACCGAAAGCATCGGTAGCTCACCGGCACAAAGATTGTTCGGTCGCCGCACACGCACACTGCTCCCAACTACAAAGTCACTTCTCAAACCCAAGACAGTGCGCGACGTCCCCAGCCGATTAGCTGATCGCCAGCAGAAGCAGGCCGTCTATTACAACAGAGGTGCAAAGGATCTTCCGATGCTCAGCGAAGGGGAGCATGTCTACATGGCCCCTGCACCAGGACGTAACCAGTGGAGGGCGGCTACCGTCAGCAGGTATCTGGGGAACAGATCATATCTCGTGAAGATTGACGATGACGGCGGCGTGTATCGCCGGAATAGACGTCACCTCCGCCGTGACCCGGGTCAGGACAAGCCTCCGTATCAAGAGGCCGGGTCACGACCGACATTCGAAAGGGCTCGACCGGCACCGGACAGACCGGGAAGGGGTGCAGCGACACGCCAGTCATCTGATGATGAGTATATGTATATACCCGTCCCCAGTGTACCAAGACAAGTGGCTGCTACGCCACAACAGGCTCAACACAGAGAACAGGCGCAAGTGACTCGATCTCCATACCTACTCAGAAGCAGGAGGAGAGTCAACTGAGCATGTTCAGAAAAGGGAGGATGTGTCATATATGAAGTGATGGTCCCATTGCGTACAGAGCACGCGACATAAGAAAATCTAAGTGTGTATTATTGGGCGATGTGGGGATAGATTGGTCAGAATACAAATATAGAGATCATGAATTGAGTACTTTGCTTACTTGAATATTAACTGAATAATATTACCTACTTAGATAGTAATCACAGCTTTAATAGTAAACGTAACAAAGTTGATATAAAAATATACGTTTAAAAATGTTTTTGAAATAAATATAAAGATTTTAGGTCCTATATGAATAAGTCCTATACCTATAAGAGCATTCAAGGTCACCTGGGATCATCAACGCTAATTAACAAGGTCATGTCCTCAAACTTGACTTGCCTCGTCGATGAGCCTTGCTCAGACTTGCGATTACTCTAAATTTACAGATACCTAAATGTGCGTGCATTCATAGCTAGAACATGACAATATTTTTTATATGTTTCGTGACACTTGTGACGTCATAAACAAGTACATAAGCATCTGGTCCGACACATTTTGCACTCTAAATGATCGTTAGTCACCAAGGTTTCGTTTGAGCCCAAAAACACGTTTGTATCTCATATAGTTTCTGAGTTACGAGCCCTGGCCAGTTTTGGTCCTGAGTTAAAACATAGTGTGCCGGTCGTCGGACGTCAGACCGGCCGCACTCGCCGGCTGAGTTACGGCCGCTGACGCGCCGCTCTCCCGATGGAGGTGCCAGCCCGGGGCTGCCTCGTGATAACGGGTGCACCGGTGATGGTGAGCGACCTAACTCACATTATCCGTCGGCCGGCCAGCCGTTTGAAGGGGTAATGTCGGGGTGTGCCGTCAGAGGCTCGAACTAGCTCGTATTGACCGAGGCAGCAATGGCGCAAAGCCCGCCCAGATCGAGTTGCCATGCAAATGGGCAGATTGGAAAGGCTCATCCCAGATGCTGAGGAAATCATGCCAGCAGGAGATGTTAGGGAACTCATTTGGCGAGACTAACCAGTTTGTCTTTGTGTCCGTGCTCTCACTTCAAGGCATATTTATCACTGTCCCCTTGCAGGCACCTTCAACTGTACAGCGATGATAACTGCCGCTTCATAGTTGTTAGCTTTTGACTGACATGAATAGCAACTTCAAGATGAGACCCGAGACAAATGTGACCCGCCCTACCAAGACTCATCGCCGCAGCATGTGTCTGACTGATGTACTGCGTCAGCTTCTTCTGTCAGAATATTTGACCAAACCCCTACTCGAGTGTAAAGGTGACAAGTGGCTCGGCCCATCGCCCTGTCATCTGAACAGCTGCTCGGCAGCTCCCAGGCAGCTGCCGGCACTGCCACCGGGTCCGGATTCCTCCACGAGCCTCCCAGAGCGCCGTCTCACCTAGCCGGCACCAATCAATTCGACGCAATCCTCTGCCGCGCTCTGACGACTGACAGAAACGGGCCGGCCACCGCCGCAGTGTGCACGGAGAGCCAATCCATTTTCTCGGCTGGGTGCCGGTGTCGGCGCTGCCCGGGGTGGCAGGGCGGGCCTCTCGGCTGCATTCCTGCCGGGGTGCCGCCGGCAGCCGGCCTGCACTGCTCTCCTTCTGGTGGTCCGGCGCGTGGGGCGCCGCCGGCGGATGGGGCTGGCGGAGGAGCGGAAGGGTCGCCGGACGGGAGCAGGACGCCCCGGCGGGGACACTGCACCGCTGCTGTCAGACAAGGTCACACTGAATGGGGGGGGGGGGAGGTGATGGATCACGCCGGCTGAGGTGAATGGGTGAGTGGGCCTCTGCGCCGACTCGGGCGGAGAGCTAGGGTGTCGAATTCATATGCTTTGTTTAGACTTGAGGCAACAAGGTATGTAATACTGACGATTGTTATTGCTAGATATTAACCCTCGCATGTGTAGGGGGGGGGGGGGTCGGATGGACCCCCCCCCCCCATGGTTTTTCGCGAATAACTCGCGTAAAAAGCGGCCGATCGCGACGAAACTTTCAGTACCCTCGCATTGATCAATTTTACACCTACCCTGAAAATTTCATGAACCTGACCCTAATGACCTTTGACCTGTGACCTCTTTTCTGAGACCATGTTTGGCCGGAATCGCGATTTCGCGTATGTCGGCTCGCACTAGCCGCGTGTTTGCAAGCTTTTCGTGGTTTCAAACGTTCAAACATGTGATTTGATGTTACTCCCGTGTGTGTCAAGGTCACCTGAAGGTCAGGTCAGGTCATTGACCTTTGGTGACCTCGGGTGACCTCGGGTCACTTTTTCGAGTTTTACATGTTTCTAGGCTAGTTTTTGGAGCTGAATTCGAATTTAGCAACCATTTGAACATTTACGAAGTAGTTTTGGTGACTTCGTAACATGTTACGAAGCTGTCAGAGGCATTTGACACGTACTACGAATACCCGTCACGACGCCTACTGGTTGACCTGACCTGACCTGACCCGACCTGGTCTAAATGCTTCAAGACATCATCTGTGATCAAAACTAACACGATATTCGTGATCAGCACCCCGAAAAACCCCTTAGCAGCCACACTTTACGACTTTCTAACAGTTCCCGATTTTCCCGACTTTGGGTCATTGACCTGACCTGGAAGGTCAACCAATGACCTAGGACCTTAAAATTGGGTATCATCGGCTTCCTCTCGTCACGGGCAACACGCTCGTTTTTTCCGCGAAGCTCTAGCTCGATCAGGGGCCAAACGGCAAGGGGGGGGTCCAACCGACCCCCCCCCTACACATTAGAAGCTGGCAAACGCCGCACACATGCGAGGGTTAACAGTACAAACTAGCACGATTTTATGCAAGCTGCTCCACTGGAGCGCGGAAGAAAGTGGAGCTCAAAGCAGCAATCGTCCTTATAGCTAAACACAACCATTCGTGATTGTTGTTGGACTGCAAACAAAGACATTCTGCCAAACGAGCATGCTCCAGAGCTGAGCGATTGTTCCGTGGCACGCTCGGACCGCCAGAATAACAGCTTTATCCACGCTACCTGGTCCGATCGCAGTCGCTCGGACCGCTTCTGATGCATTGTAATCGGTAACACGATAATTTTCCACTTACTTGAGTGTATTATTCTCAGCGGAAGCCGGCGATCCATCACTGTGGAGCAGCTTGCCGCACAGCCTCCCGGGCGGCGAGTCTCGCGCGAGATCAGAGGTCACCACAACCACAGTCACGTGCCTACAACACCACCAGATATCTCAGCAAGAGCCGCACAGTTCGCCTCCACACCGCTCCGAGGCCAGTGCAGCACTTGGCCGCCGCATCACTTGGCGCCGACGGTGACGACGGCCGTTACCATGACAACCGGCGACCTCTGACCCCAGCGGCAGCGGTTGGTGACCCGGCCGGCCCCGCGGTGGGGACGCGCTGCCTTCAGAGCCGACCTCTGACCCCGGGCGCCACTTTGCGAGCCCCGCAGCGCCGCCGGCCCGGCCGCGGCCCGCAGAAGGTCGTGACCTTTGGCCCCGTGTCGGTAGGGCTGATTAAACACGCCAAACGGCCGTCCTGCGTAACAATGGCTCGACCCGCGCACCGTGCGAAGGCGACGGCGGCCTTTGAATATTTTTGAATTTCTTCCCAGGGCGTTAGACTCACCTACCGGCATCGGGAAAGCAGTGCTCAAAAGGAATGCCGGTACGTACAAATCTTGCAACGGTATTTTCGTAAACCGTTTCATGCTGGAGCCTGGAAACCCACCTTCGTTGGTAGCCCACAAAAAAAGCACAACGGACTCGCACATGTTGGCATATGCTAACGTCAGCATCACCGTTCTTCCTCCCGCGGCGTGTATTCAGCCGCTGCGCCGCCTGGCATTTGAGCGGCATGCTGTGCCGCACGACACGGCGACGCGGTGACTGCGGCAGAGCAGAGAAAGCTAGCACCATCTCCATTGGTATCAGTTTATACGAGCGATAGAGGTCATCCAGGTCGTATGGAGACTGTGTATTGTGTAATGTGGGACTAGATAGAACACTTGTGTCACGCATAGCCTCTGCACTGTTTTTGAGCTGGGAAGAATTGGGCCAAGAAAGATAAACATTAAAACTACAGTCTACATGCTACACATGTCTATAACTAAAAATGCAATGATGCTTAGCAAGCTAGCATCCACCTCTCCTCTCCCACTCTCTCTCTCTCTCTCTCTCTCTCTCTCTCTCTCTCTCTCTCTCTCTCTCTCTCTCTCTCTCTCTCTCTCTCTCTCTCTCTATCTCTCTCTCTCTCTCTCTCTCGCTCTTTCTTCTGGCTCATCTTCCCTTTCTCATTCACTTCCCTTTCTCTCTTCTCTGGCTGCACGGAAGCCAACGTCTGCGTCCTGCATAGATCACGTTGACGTGAGCCCGGTTAGTTCGTCCCACCTGTGGCGACTCACAAAGCCGTCACTGCCCACCAGAAGCCACCGACAAAGGAGTCACTGGCTACCAGAAGCTGCCGACAGAGCAGTCACTGCTCAACGGCGGCTGTGGACAATGGGCGTCAGAGCGGCACAAAACGGCTGCAGTCGGTGTTAGCACCGGCCGCGCCCAGCTCTCGGCACCGCCGCAGCGGGGGCATCAACCAACACCAGTGACTGCAGCATCTCACATCAGCCATCGGACCAGCGAGGACCATCTTTGCTCCAGGAAATACCAGTAACTGCGTCAGACATTGCAGCCGACGACACCACCGTCACCGTACCATTGACTGCAGTGCACACTGCTCTGAAACAGTCTTTACGAGCCAGCACCATTGGTGACAGCGCCTTCAACCGCTAGGTCACTGGCATGTATCGCGTACGAATTACGATCACCCTCACCTAACAACTTACTTACTTACTTACTTCCTCGGCGGCAGCTTCGTGGACGAACGGGACCCGAAGCACCGCGCCCATGTCGTCTCAGCATCCCCCGTCCCGCTGATGTCAGCCAGCGTCCTCCTGGAGATGGTCCCACAAGCCAGCTGACACGCCAGCCTTCCAGTCGCTCCTGAGCGGCGAGAGCCTCGCGCCCATCCTCGCTCCAGCCCTCTTCCATGCATCCTTTCGACCTCTGTGCTTCCGTGACAAACAACACCACTCCTTCACTCTTCCGGTGGCAGTGAGCTGTTAAACATCTATACAAAGTTGCCGACACCAGGCAGACAGAGGGGCACCAGGAGAAACATTTGGATAGTCCTGTAAGCACAACAGACGATATAGATTGCACAGATTATTTAATAGGTAACAACTCTTCGCTATTTACAGGGATGGTGTGCATCAGGCGTGGAGCCTCCTCTTGGCCGGTTCAGTCGGAATCAGCAGCCCGAAGAGAGGCAGTTGCACATCAGTGGGAGGCGAGGGTTGGGTGGGTTGTGCTCGCAGAATTGCCGTTCTGTCACGCTCCTGAGTCCTGACCACTGCGCCTCGCCACATTACCGGATGTGTCTGTATGACCCATGACCCGCGAGCACCGGGCAGTTCTGCCGCTCTGCATTCCTCCCTCTCTCCCCTTCCTCCCTCTCTCCCCTTCCTCCCTCCCTCCCCGTGCGCCCCTCCCCTCCCTCCCCTCCCCGCCGCCCGTCCCGCCCGGGTCAAAGGTGGCGCCGGTCGGGCGGCACCGGCCTTGAACCTACCCCGGTGGACGCGCAAGACACACAATAACACGGGGGTCTGATCGGAAACTGAGGGTCGGCCGGTCGACGGGCCGATGGTCGTCGTTGGGGCTGCCCTGGGAGCGGGCTGCCACTTTCCCCGTCACCACCTGGTCGACCTATAATGGGCCGTGGCGCGATCAATTGACGATGACTGATGAATGGCAGGCTGGGCGACGCGATGCTGCGAGAACTATGGGAAGTGTTGGTCTGTCCTTCGTAAAGTGCACCTTATATTGGGGTGGCAATAGCTACCTATTAAATAATCTGTGCAATCTATATCGTCTGTTGTGCTTACAGGACTATCCAAATGTTTCTCCTGGTGCCCCTCTGTCTGCCTGGTGTCGGCAACTTTGTATAGATGTTTAACAGCTCACTGCCACCGGAAGAGTGAAGGAGTGGTGTTGTTTGTCAGCACTTCCATTTGCCACCAGCATCCGCGTCGGCTCCTTTGCTGTACGTCACTGGAAGTCGCCCCTGGTCTGTTCCTTTGAGCGTCGCCCGCCCGGTGGTAAGCCATATCGGCTTCTTTGTTCGCTGAATATTGACACCTGTACGCAGAGGAAAGACGCTTTGGACTAATCAGCGACACTTTTGGCGGTCATAGGGAAAATGAGAACAGGTGTTCGGTAAAAACACATAAAATATCGGAAGTATAGGTGCTGCTTTCAGGTAATGAGTCAAAGGACGGTAACTCTTTGATGCAGCGTAATTCCCGGTAGCAATGTCGCTGGCAGTATAGTCATGCTTCCACCCAGCTGGGATCTGTGTCGAACGGCAATGAAATCAAGATGGCCTAGACCTAAACTGGGGCAGAAATGTGATTAGACTTACATTCATCTAAGCCAGGGATTGTTCTATTATCAATAAGATCACTGAAAATGACAAATTATTTGAAGCAATCGTCTAATCGTTTTGGGTTTTACCATAACTTCCAACGTAAAACATATCGTGTACCTTTATATCTTTTGTGTTATATCGAAGGCCCTTTGAAATCCAGGAAAGACTTGCAGTGAATGTGGAAATAAAATCGCTGTTGCGGATCTGAAGATCCGTAACAGCGTTTTTTTATCGTTGTATCTCTGCGTATACTGGACCCGATTCCCTGCTGTCGCCGACCTAGCGTCAACGATGACCTTGAGTTGCTGCTGTTTCTATCGAGTAGAACCGTTTTAATTTTTATGCCGTCTACTTGTCTTTACCGATTAACTCAGGAAGCTTGCACATTTCCTGATATGGTGCGATGACGATATCATATACCGCTTGTCCTCATATCCTTTTCTTGCGGTGCGTGTTTCGAAACGATTTGACATTAATGAGTCATATAAGAGCTTTAGTTACCTATTTGAGGAAAGCACGTTGCATCAACAGTCAACACATCAATCATTGTATACTTAATGTGATGTGAGCTGTCGCTGATAAATGTTGAACGGGGCACGGAACGGTCTTTTCGTCCGAAATGCCAAAAACTGAACAAACAGAAATTGTAATGCTGAGCATGTTATATGTAAATTCCCAAATGTCTAACGATGGTGAGCGCCATGTGCGCATTGGCCGATGTCACTGGACCTTGCGAGGACGTTCGCACTCTTTGACCCCGCTCCGGCAAATTATTCCTACGACCAAACCTCCACCACTTGACCGAGCCGGTCCAGCGACGATTTCCCGTCCCGGCTGGTTCAGCCGATGACAAATGCACCGCGCCGCTTTTGTATCGAAGCAGTGCGCCGGAAAATGACGCACCCCGCTTCCTGTGCTCACGTGACCGGGTGTGACGGGGTCACGTGATGGCCGACCCGTGTTCCGGCGCGGCGGCTGCTCGCAGGCGGCCGGCGCCCGAGGGCAGACACGAGGCCGGCCGGCCGTTCGGTGGAGAGTATATCACAGGGAGGCGGCCGGCGTCGACTGCTGATTGCTGCCGCGGATGATTTGCACTAACGGGATCGCGCCGCCGCAGATGGTATCATGCGGAATGTTCTGATGGACGGTTGAGTCGGCCGGCACAGATGGAATACGGCGAATTAATTGACATAATTCTGGGTAGAGTATTCAGTTTAAATTGGTGATCGCATCAGGCTCGATTCAGTACGGTCCTTATTGGACCATATGTTCGTTTGAAGTGAGTTTGTAAGTGATCTAACTGCTCGTAACTATCGAGGCTATAGATTCCGGCTACTACTTGTCACACTTATCGCAGAACTGCTCTGGCAATGGTTGGATTTATTTGGCATATTGGGTTCAGGTGAGTGAAACAATTCAATGTTTTATTCCCTTTCTAAGAGTTTTGCTAATGTTGCATTTGATTGAATAGCGGAGAGCATCAATGTTATTTACTAGACATGCATTACGCATTACGCAATCATGCCAAAAGTTCAACAGATATTGTATAATGTCTTCTTATACATGGCCTTGCTTTCTTCCAAAGTAGGAACACTTGAAACTATCGAACTATTTAATGTGTGATAAGTTGATGCTCGTAGCGTTGTACGACTGTCGACGGCAAATTTTTTATCTAGCAAATATGTATTTATAAATTACCACAGGTGTTATAAATAGTAAGCTAAATAGCATGCTGAGAGTGTTTGTCTGCACTCGCTGACACAAAGCGAATGCAGACAAATACATGTATTTTCCAGCCTCGCCATTGTCGCCGTCCCTTCAGGCACAATGAAACAGCGAAACAATTATTCCTGCCTGAGTCGGCGACACTAACTGTTTCAATCGGATGTCATCGCCGCGCAGGTAGCACAATATAGCTTTAGGGTAGGTTGGAACAATAGACCATGCATGTGTTTTCCAGCACAGCTGCT